GCAGGGGGTCGAATAAAACTCCGATGCGGATGGGAAGAGGTGGTACTGGGTTCAGCATCGAAATTGATAAGGTGTTCTAAGTGTTCACGCCAGCGCTCAACTTTGGCTGAGTTGTCAGCAATAAAACCACCACGTTTGAAACAGAACCACTCACTGTAAAGGGTTTACCACTAACTTGGCGGACAATTTGGTAGTTTTCAAGTGTCACCAAGGTTTAAGGGCTAATCCGATCTGGACCCCGGTTTTCTAGACTCCGTCTTGCTACATGGCGAAGGTGAGCGGGAAACAACAGAATGTGACAGCTGCTGCACAAGTGTGCTATCAGCAAAAACTCATCCACACACAAGTCACCGTCGTGCGCACACTATGCTGCAGGGCATAGGGTGGAAATTCTAGTTCTCAGCGGTCAAACTGAGGAGTCTACGTATGAATAGCAAGGTTCAATAAACGTATAACGGGCGCAGGGCGCCTAAAGGCGGCAAGCGTCGAAAGAAACTTTAAAGGGTCTCTACTGGCAACTAGAAATAGACATAATTACCGAGGGACCACGCCGTGTCGTCGGAGGTACACCTGTTCGTAAGGAAAAAGTTCTTGTTCGGTCTCCGTCATTTTAGTTTTGAAGCTAATTTGAGATTCTATTTCGTCTATGCAGCACGCTATCAAAGCACTTACTCAGTGGTATGGGACGAGGTGACCCAAAAAAGCCCTGATGTGCACTTAACACAGTGCCGGTTCGACCATCGATTGTGACGAGGTCGACCGTGTTCCCAGAGCACAGTGTGCGGTGGCACGCTTAAATTACTTTGCGTCGATAGCGGACTTGTGCTGCATCTACCGCATCTTCTCCTCTATCATCCACCCGAGGCCCGGTCTCGTGGCACGGTCAAGAAGACCAGATGCGCGACCCGATGCAGTGTCTGACAAGGATCAACAGCCCGTCAGCGCATGCCCTAAACCCCTGGTCCGTAAGCGCACGAGAGACCAGAATTTCACACAAACAAGACAGATGCCGCTTGGATCGCAACTGAGTGAGTCATTAGCACAACAGGGCTATATCATATCGTATGAGGATGCCTTGGTGACGAAAGTCCACGGGCCTTCTAACAACTGCGGACTTTTTCAACGATCTACCTTATCCCCTCGCATCTTCTACGTCCACAATGATGACCTACGATCGCCAAATGCATGTTTTTATGCAAAATAGGCTGATAATATGGTTGTTGGTCATCCTCTCTAACGTGCGACACATCTCGGGGTTCTGAAAAATGGCCTGGCCTATGTTTCAGCATGGTCATTAGCCAGTGGTCTACTGAATAATCAGAAGTCAGTCCAGTGCGTTTTCCGATTGTGACGCTCTCCCAGTCCTAAATCCTTGGACATCCTGCCGCCGATACCTTGGTGTCACTATTTCATTTACTCTTCATTTTGGAGCCTTCTTCATTAAAATTCGTGAACTTCTATATTATACTCGTCTGCATTCTCCCTATCATTCTCTACTGCTCTTGCTTAAAAAGACTTGTTGATTTTTAAACGTATACGCCGAATTCTCTCTTCAGTGCCGGTGTTTTTTATGCGTTTTTATCTGATATTATAATGCAAAGGTACTTCAAAACGGTCAAGCAATTTGCTATTCGCATCCTTAGTGAGGTCGCTAACCCTCTCCACGCTGAACTAATGGCTGCAAAGTCTTCCCGTACTATGCGGCGAAGCTTCCGTCATGTGTTGTCGGACATCGGCATATCAGCACTCTATACTCCCATTCCTAGCACGCTACCTCACGTATAAAGAAACGGAAACTCAGAAACTGAGAGTAGACCTGTCTCCATAATAGATGTGGATTTTATGTAAACCTATAGACTGAGTATTTTACAAACTTATCCCTTGGTCTTAGTGAATGCAGCAATGTTTGCTGAAAATGTTGTGCCACCTCAAAAGAAAGCGTATTTCTCTCCAAAAAGCTACAGTACCAGTGAATTTCACATCAGACCCGACTCAACACATCTAGAAAACCGACAGATGAAGTGTGTAAGTTGGATGTTTGCGAGAAAAGCGTGATATAAAAGCGTATATAGCGTATAATGGATGCTTAAGTTATAGTGGCAGTTAAAAAGTGACCTAGTAAGCAGAGTAAAATGGATTGACGTAATGCCCGAAATAAGGGGTGAAAATAAAAATAGCAAGCTTACTTTGCGGTGTCCGCATGCGCTACGTTGGCCCCATCGATAATCACCGGTCGCAATCGCCTGGTTGCTAAAATAAGAAAAAGAAACGAACCTTAAGGCGACACCTAAATTAAAGAGAATGTTTCGGGCAAAAACGGCCTCGAAGCCCGTCACCAACCTTGCATCCAGACAATGACATGTCTTATCGATCAAGTGCGTCGATAAAAAGCACCGCATTAGACGACCACCAACTTCCCCTGTTCGGTGTGATTATTTGGTTTCTTCAAAAGATGAGACTTTTTACCTTAGTGCACGATGACTACATTAAAAATCAGAACATATTCATCCCTCACGAAGTAATTATGTTCTTCTCTAGCCGCCCGACTGTATGGAAGAGTGTATGATAGGTAAAGTTCATTAAAAGAGCCCGGACGGCTGTCGAAACTGCTAAGCTGATGGCTTCCGGTGGTTTAGAACAGACAGTCGAGGCAAGTTTCATGAAATTGAGAAAATTATTTAGAAGTTAGTTTGGGTTAGAAGTCACTCTATCGGCCTCTCCTCAATTGTCCTACTGCCACACCGGATAAGGGCAGCCAACACATGGGAAGAGGAAGATGGGATCGCTGGAACAGTTTCATTCGCCCGATTTTTTGGATTCCGACTCGACTGAGATCAACCATTTGTAATAGGTGCGGGAGCTGCTAAGTGGGACAGGTGTGCTACAGTGGCACAACGAGTATACCCTATAAGTACTGAAACACTTGTGCACGCAGCAGCCTCAGCTGATGCTGCCTGAGAAGTTAGGCGAATGACACTCTAGTTGCACCGATGGTGTCTCATTCCCTCAAACTGGTCCGTGGAATTTGAATTTTCCCTTGCATCATACTTCTACAGACAAGTCCTACTCGTATGTTCACGCAATGTGCACGGCGCAAAAACCACTTTGATTCAGGATGATGTATGCTGACAGCCGCTTGCAAAAATCAGGTCTAGGGTGGTGGACGGCGAAGCCTGACTATAAATCAACGGAAAAAGGCTGGTAGGCAGTTTTTTCGAATAGGCAACACGGGTTTAACGCACATACATACATCCCGACAGTCTGCGCGAGAGGTGACAATTGTGTGAATCGCGAATTACTTGAGTCATGGTTCACGGGCCCTAAGTCTATAAACATGACCGAGGCGGTCTTACAACGGTTAAAGTCGCTAGTCTTCCAACACCACAGACCAAACTTCTGGGCGCGGTATGTGGTTGATACTGTCTTCTTCATCGAACGCGATCAGGCGCTTACGTTCAAAGAACTTCTCAACAGCGTCTCCACGGCAATAAAAATTACGATACAGGAGGAAGAAGACAACCAGATTGCCTTCCTCGGCGTTTTCGTCTACCTCAAAGATTGTGGTGGCCTAAAGTCTAAAGTGTTCAGGAAAGCGACGAAAACGACGCAAGTACTGAAAACTTCAACAGCAAACACCCAATCAGCCACGGACGCATTTGCGTAAAGACGCTTTATCGGCGTGTTGAGACGCACTGTAGTGAACCAGAACACAAATTTGCCGAAATACGATATTTTCGACGGGTGTTCAGAGAAAATGGCCACCACACAGCTTAAACAAGTGCATGCGCAAACGAAATGGACAACAAAATCACACCGACCCCAAATTTTGGCGAGCCTTCCAAAGATGTCAAGCCAAACATGTCTTGGAGGCCGTCGGCCATCTTCTCGCACCACTCGGAGACAGAGTCGCACGCAGGCCGGAGGCAAGCATAAGGCGTCAGATAAGGAAACCACAAGACCTACTGCCACGGTAAGAAACATTTGCAGTCGTTTATAGGATCTGGTGCAGTTGCAGACAAAGCAACTACGTCGGAGAAACTGGAATATTCCTCAAGATGCGAAATGCCAAACAGGCGGCAGCAGTGCGGAGGAATGACGCGACCGACGAGACCGGGCCAAACATTCAAATTTGCCGAGGCCGAAATTCTCGCGAGAGGTGACAATCGTGTAAGCCGCGAATTACGTGAATCAGTCTGGCTAAAGCAGTTCACCACTCGAAGAACGCACATATTAACGCGTCGTCTACCACCAGCGCTAGGAAACTATATAGCCGAGGAATCATCCGCCCAAGTGCACCACGTCTGATGAAGGTTCAGAAAGTCATGGATTGCACGCGGATATCAAGTAATTCGCGCGCCAGCGGGCAACTATTTTCGATGGGGGAGACGTTAATTGTCACATCATAGAGAGTGTATCCTGTAAATAGTGCAAATGCCTGTGTATAATTGACCCGTTTCTGTTACCGTCTCCGATTATGGATCCTCGATAGAGTACGAAACATCAGGCGAATAAAACTCTTGTCCCAGTAACTTCATCGACTCCTGCTCAGAGACAGTAATAGACCCGCCTCTGAGGATGCGTTCAAGAAGAATTCCGAAGCGTAAGGCAAATAAAGTTCCTGTCTTTGCAATCGCATCTGCATTTCAGGAGCATGCTGGGGAGCCTAGTTCTACTAGCTATTCCCTAAGGATGACTCGCGAGCGAGCAGATTTTCCTATTTGAAGACGGCTCTAGTGGACATTTTATTTTCGCGGCCAGATATACATAAGTTTTGCTTAGAATTGTCAAAGAAGTCAGATTATTATACAGATTATGGTTTTATTTCCTAGCTAGGTTTAATTTGTGCATAATGGCTCTGCTACGGTGAACCATCGACAAGCGTCCGCTCAGTCAGGTGTCAGTGTGTGTGTGTGTGAGTAGGAGTAGCGCAGCCGCCCCTCACGAGAGGGTTGATGGTCCTATAAAAGATGGTTCCAAACACGCT